CTCGCTGCTCCTAGTGTTGTTTCTTGCCTACAATCAAACTAGCAAGAATTTTGCATATTTAGCGTTGGCACTTTTCTTAAGAGAATTGTAGGTTGGATGTTAAACTTTTTACTAACAGTTGGGTTTTGCATACGTGCACGGACTTTTGGCTCGCCAAGAACCTCTCCTTCTTTTACAGTGCCTCGCTAGGCTTGTAAGGCTTGAATCTGACAACCGGATTTGGGACCGCATACACTTGTTGACCATCAAATGCTTGCATGTCTAGACGGTGGATTTATAATCCAAAACGGTTATGTTACAGGGAATCGGGATGAGCTACTGTCTGTATATAAGGAGAACCATAGTGCCATTCCCGACACCTAAGCACGGATTTTTATGGGAACTTCCGACACGAAGCTTTTTGGATATTTTGCGGCGGTGCCGCTTCTGTTATTAATAGCTTGTCTGTGGAACACAGGAATGAAGCGAAGCCAAATGCATACGTCGATTTCGACTCTTTCGTTGTGAGGAGTTCAGGGAATCTCCGTCATCGATGCAAATGCTTCTCTTCCGCACCGTAGGTGCATGCAAGGTATGTGATAGGATAGAGGTCATTGGGAAATGCTCTGTTCGCTTTCCGCTACTACCAGTGTAGCTGCTCAAGATTTTCCTTAGGGTTGAAGAATGCAGTAAGTGAGAATGGATATAGTACTCCGAAGAGAACAAAGCAAATGAGCCTGAGCATGGCCCAAAGGCCAGCCCAGAGAACAAGGGCCAAATCCTAAGGCGACCACCGAACGTCAGGTAGTCACATAAACAAATCATTGAACTTCAAAATGCCTTTATGCCATCATTAAGTACGCCACAGGGCTTAATTGTGTTATTTACCGATTCCTATGTCTGTAATATGTACTGGCTTGCTTACGTGGACTTTTATAGGTGAGAGGCGGGAACCAACTGGGAACGCGAATCACGTGTGTGAGGCCGGCGAGGAGTCTCTCTCCAATTGATATATCTTACTTGTGTCATTTGCATCCCATTCCTCATTCTCCATATAACAAAAGCTGAATAAATCAACTACAAACAACTCTCTCTTGAAGTTTGAGGTTCAAGGACCAGAGTGTGGGCAGGCAGCTCTTACTGTGTCCACAGTCGATTTTTAGGTGCAAGTAAATTAATTATATTCGAAATATACAATTTGAAGTAATAGGTTTAGTAGTTACAATTCATGAACCGGGTTAAAAGTAGAATTTATCGAGATAACTCGTGCAGAGCAGCATCTTCAGGATAAAGTAACGGGTAATTCTAGACGGTTGTTTAGTTTTTTATTTCAATTTATAACTTTGAGTTATTTCTGAGTTCTGTAAGTGAGATGACTCCTGAACATTGGCAGTTCCTTCCGCTTCTTTTCACACAGACTTTTCACATCGTCGTCTTATAATTCCAGAGCACTACTGTAAAGCAGGAACGGTGGATTCAAATGTTGATCCGAGCAACGAATACACTGTTCGCCTAAACCAATAGAAATCAAGCCGCGATTTATCTACGCCATCCGCACCACATCTAAGGACTTCCTCATATGAATGCCCTCCAGAGGATCCTCAGATTTTTTTTTAACCTAGCCTGGAACATGAATACGAAGATATTGATGCAAAACTACGAAGGACTGGTAATTCATTTCAGCTTCGCTTTCTCAAGAATGTTGCAATAAATTACACATAAGAAACCTATGTATATACATATGCCTTCGTCTCTATCTATTGTTCTGATAGAGTTGGTCATTCTGTAGTCAATGCTGTAATGATAGGTCCAGTTCTCGTTTCCACTGCTTCACAAAGGGGTAATTTTCGAGATCCACTCTATCCTCCTTCAACCCATTTCGGTTGGAGCTCTCATTGGGTGCAACATCACAGTTGAGTGCATTGCGGACACTAATTTCCGCAGGCGTGATAGAAGCCTGCAGGTATTTTGTGCGGCCTCCTCTGTCTGGTGTCCGGGCGTCTAGAAGACTCGGCCACATACCGTCAATGACGTGCCTGCGCGCTGATTTTTGCATTGTCGACGGCGTTTTTTGAGATGGTGCCAGAGGAATGCGTCGTAGTGTGGTACTAGTGACGGCTTCACCGTGAGAAAACATGGAGATGCGTTTCTCTGGCCGCGAGATGGTCGGGCTGCTGCCACTAGCGCAGGATGGGGGCAAAATGAGACGCAGCGGAGAGGAAACTATGAAGTTGTTTAGCATCCCAATTACCGGCGACATCTGCTTCGGCGAAAGGGCTTTTGGATCACTAAAAAGTGATTAAGAATATTAGCCAAATAGGCTGCAAATCTTATAAGAGCTTTAAATGTTAAATGTTCTAATCTGGTGAAGGCTGAGAACTACCAATGGAATGTGTGCAACGAACCATTGAAATGAACACCCATTTTCTGTACCGAAAGGTGAATGGAAGCAAAAAGAGTTTGGAATTATGGAACTGCCCATTTCAAGCATCTCAGTACCGTTGGAGTTTTAGGTATGGAATGTTCGGCGACGTTAGTAAGAAGCATACTAAATCAAAGAGCAGCTTATAGGTAGGCTATCAACAGTATGCCTCTGCCCGTAGAAGACACATTAGGCAGAATCTCATATGCATCGAACACGTACATTTATGAGACATTTCCGTCTGTAGTCCCGCCCCGTAGAGTTTCAGCTACGCGGTTCTCTGCCCTCCTTTTGCGTTACCACGCTCTTAGCTTCTTCAAGTCTGAAAGTGGACTCACCGCAATGGGTTTGAAAGCATTACCAACGTTACAAAGTCGACAGTTTTCCATAGAACTAACATACCAACCGCAGTTATAAAATCATTACTAGTTGTCTGGTTGGGTCCTATAGAACTGCATTGTTTTATGGCGCTGTTGGAACGTTACTCTACCACCTTTGCAACCGATTCTCACACTTGCTCAGCCTAATAAAATGCCTAATAGTGCATATCTTCGCAAACGATCAGGTTTTCGCCGAACATTGCATTTGTTCCATAGAGAAAAGTCTGAATCTTCATCACAGATGTCGCACAATAGATGCTGAAGCCTAGGGACTTACCCAAAACCCAAAAATCAAACGCTTCATGCTTGAGAGGACCTACACATCAATGGAAGAATTGCCGGAGGAAGATGACGTTGATGAGGAGGAAGATCCCTCGAAACTATCTGAGGAAACGTGCTCTGGGTTGTTGTCCTCCCTGTAGGCAGTCCAGGGACAGAGTTTCTCCTTGGCATTTGATAGCATTGCTGAAGCGCCATTCTGCTCACATTTGACGCGCTTGCTAGGAGTTCTTTTGGGGATGGACTCCTGTATGCTCCCATCGAGGTCAGGAAGTCGATACGGGAAAGAACCGTGTGTGGCAGGGGAGGATTGTTGGGTTTTTTTGTCAGAGACGTAGAATTGCGCCAGATAGTCGTTGAGGAGACCAAGGCCGTAATCTGATCGCAGATCAGCGAAATCATCTAGGAAGGTCCAGTACTCGGTCCACTTGGTATTTAGCTCTGCCGCCAGCCGTCTAAAGAAACAGACTTTATTGAAAGCAGTATCGAGAGTCCAAAAGTAAAGATCTCATGTTTTGTCAACCTGGTAGCACTTGAGACATTTGCTTAACTGGGGTCTCTTGAAAGGGTAAAATCTTTATTAATCGGAATTAAATGATCTTCAAGAAAGAGGTCTCACTCAACCATTGAGCCTGCGAAATGCTGAAAGGTAAAGATGATCAGTGATTTTATACCAATAGACGTTCGTTAACGGTAGACAAGTCAGGTTTCTCAGACAGGATTTCATAGAAACCTAGTAGAAGTTGAAAAATAATAAAAAAATAACCACCAGGAATGAAGTGGTGGTGATGAATCCGTACCACTGGCACATTCAGTGGCACTTTTCAACCACCTGAAAGACAGAATCAAAAAAAAAAAACTAAATGGTTAAAGACAAATTACTGGGTAAAATTGCAGCATATTCACCAATGTCAAAGAGAAATTTTAAGACTAATCAATTCGGTGGAGCTTCCACCGAACCTAAGCTGGACAATCGCCTAGGATTGATGGACTGAGAAGATGGAGAACAAGTCGGCAAGCTCGGTATAGGACTAAAAAAGATCCAGAGTAAGCTAAGAAGTTCCACGCACCGACCATATCGCTCATAGCCCTTTTCTGCGTCCATCAGACGAAGGTTCATCCAAAACGGATTTCGTGGTCGTCTCCAGCTGGCCACAGCGCGTTGAGCCTAAAAGCAAAAACAGAAAAAAAGTGACTGTCAATGAACTGATAACGACCCTGAGTTCTTCAGGTTTGGCTAAGTACATTTAAAACTAAAATAAAGTAGTAAATGGTGCTGATAGGTAACGCGCCGTATGAAAGCCATAATCTACTAAGCGTCAAGTGAGAGACGATCACACTTTAAGTTTAACACAAGATTTCGACGAACATTCAACGAAAATTGGTACAATTTTCATGCTAAAATGGCAAAGACCCAAAATGCGTCCAATATCATGCACAAAACTGAAAATGAACTTTCTGCTTTTGAGTAGAGGAAGAGGATTTT